GGCAGATGCTTAACGACTGAGCCACCCAGGCGCCCCAACTTTTTTTTTTTTTTTTAAAGCCTGATTTTTCTCAATACAGCTTTAAAGTCTTTTAAATTGTTTCATATCTGGTCAAGTTGAGATTTTTAAGAACCTCATTTTTTAATTTGTAATAAAAGTTTACAACTTGATTTTTTCAAGAAACTCAACAAACGGCAAGCACCCATTAATAAAGGTCTTAAATAATTTAAAAAAAATCACCTTAATTGTGGATACTGCACCCACCTTTTGGCCTTTTAGGCCAGTGGCTTTTTTCCCACTAACTTGCTTTAAAGTATGACTATGTGTTCACAAATGTCTAATCCTTCATTGTCTTTAGTGGGGAGCTTGTATGCCATCAAATTCATATGAAAAACTCACTGCAACAAGCACTTCTTGTCAGACAGGTTCCTTACTCTATATTGATCAACTTGTTCTCTGATTTCAAACTCTAAATTCTGCTGAGTCCTTGGCTCTGATGCTTTTTCTAGACACTAGCTTTTGCAAGTAGATTGGGTTTTGGTAAAAATTTTTCATCTGCTGTGGTGCTAATGGAAGCTACATTTGCTCAGCCAGTCCATCTGGGTCTACCCACCCAGGGTGTGGTATCTTGGTTGTTTCCCTCAGAAGAAGACTCTGACAATGGTTTGAGTGCAAGTTGCTTATTTGAGAAGTGGCCCTAGGAAACTCCATCTAGAGGGTGGAGAAGTGAGCAAGGAAGATAGGCAGTAAAGTGTGTGCTATTAAGCCAGCTACCATAGTGGTGATTAGAGCTTAACCCAGGCTTATTAGGAGCTCCCTGAAAGCAGGGCCCAGTGCCCTTCTCCTCTATTTTCCTCACTGTAGAGCCCAACACAAGGCCTGGTCAACTGAGAACTCATGTTATAATTGAGTTGATGACCACATAGGTGAACACTGCTCTAAAATGGACCCGAGAGAGAGAGAAAAAAACCCTGTTGGAATGAAAGGTCTTTGCATAGCTCTTGTTTCTGCCTGCACTGCTAGGTCCCTTGATGGCCACATGTCAGGTTCCTTGTTATTCATCTCTCAGCTGCAATGTTACCTCCTTGGCTCATTCCTGATTCCATAATTTAAAGTAGCCACCCAGACACTCTCCAGCACATGACCCTATTGTAATCTCTGCACAGCCACTTATTACCATGTGAAGCTTTCCTTGGTTGTTTATATATTTTTTGCCTGTCTCCCCCATAGATACAGGTTATTTATACTGTGTTGTCTTCTTTATATAAGAATAAAGTTTCCATGAGAGCAGTGACATTGTCTGACTTCCTCACTGCACAACCTTCAGCGCATACTAGTGGATCAGTAAATAGTTTTTGAATGAATGAATTTATCACAAACAGAAACGAAAACAACCTCCCTTTGGACCCTAGACTCTTACTTAAAAGATCTAGGAAGGAAAAAAAAAAAAAAGATCTAGGAAGGAAAGAAAGGTTCCCAGTGACTGAACAGAACATCTAGATTCCAGAGGAATCTGTAGGATTTTCATTGGGAAAAGAGGGAACAGATTAACTTCTTAAAATTGCTTTTATTAAAATGGAATCAAAACCATATTACGTGTGAGGTAGAGTAACAATAAAATGAAGATACTATGTACCCAGCTTAAGAAATATACTCAGGATCACCTTTAGTAACGGAAGTTTATTACAGAGGTTCAAGAGCATATGAGATAGCACTGAACTTCCTTTCCTCCCTAGCCATATTGTGACTTGGGGTCAGACTTGGGTGTCAAAAAGCCTCATGAGGAAGTGGAAAAATAGCTTCACATCTTGTGGAATAAACCTGACCTCAAATTATCTGCTCTCTTTGTTTTAGCTGCCATATCCTCATCTCAGGAGAATGTGGTAATGACAGAAGTCAGTCACCACAGTTGCAAATCCTGGGAAGCAGGCTTGGAAACCCCAGAGAAAGGCTCAGGCCCTTGTAGGCTGTTCGGAGATCAGCTTGACCCTGAGAGTTGGAAAAGGGCAGACAGGCTGAGTAGAGGCTTAATCTTGAAGTAGGAGGTCCTCTGAGAAGAGAGAGCGGTTAAGACATTCTGGCCAGGTTTGGTCTTTATCTTTTTAAATCACCTTTCACAACTATTGATTTCTGGGTCCTTTAAGAGGGATGGCAGATACTTGTGCTTCAGGCGGTCTCTGAAGCAGACAGGTAGAGGTAAGCTGGGGCACATATGATGACAGCTAAGTGGCCTGCCCCAGCTTCTCCAGTTTATCTCCCCAGAAAAGGGTCCTCTGGAGAGTAGGGTCATCTGTGGCTTAAATAGGCTTGGCCATTTCCAGAGGCTTGTGATTTGCCCTGCTTCGGTCCTCTACATGTGGACTGAAATACCTTCCAAGAGACAAAGGGAGGGAAACGGCAGGTCACAAACTCCTTCCCCCTGAGGGAGAACTGAACTTTGTCTTCAAGGCTATTGCCTCTGCTACACTTACCTACTATAGGCCCTACTGGCTTGCTCAGAGCCCACACATTGGAACCTCTGATGCTCTGTCACAGACCCTCACCTACCTTGCCAGTAGTGGACAGTTCCTACAAGGTCAGACTCACCTTGTGCTGGCAGAAGCCCCACTCAGGAGCTGCCATGCAGCTTTTTACTTTCTTTCTTCTCTGACGTCTCGGAGTTGGCTGCAAAGGCTGCCTGTTAGTCCAGGGGACCGAACTCCCCTGTAGGGAACCCCAACTCAGGTGGACACTTCTGGGGCATTTGTATGCTTTTGAGATCATCCCCCTACCCCCTGGATTGAGTCCTTATTGCCTATAGCAGTAACCTTGGTAACATACACATTTAGTGGCTTTTCCTTCTTCCCTGTCTCACTCTCCTTATGGCCTTATTCCTGCTTCCTGAGATCATCCCCCAAATAAACTATCTGCACCCAAGGCCTTGTCTTAGGCTTGTTTGAGGCGACACCTAAATTGAAACATCAGCTGATGGGCGCCTGGGTGGCTCAGTCGTTAAGCGTCTGCCTTCGGCTCGGGTCATGATCCCGGGGTCCCGGGATCGAGCCCCGCATCGGGCTCCCTGCTCGGCGGGAAGCCTGCTTCTCCCTCTCCCACTCCCCCTGCTTGTGTTCCTGCTCTCGCTATCTCTCTCTGTCAAATAAATAAAATCTTTAAAAAAAAAAAAAGAAACATCAGCTGATGCTCTCATCCCAGCTTGGGCCAAGCCGTATGTAAACAAGTCAAGGTGCCTAGTAAAGGGAGACAGCTGCCATCCAACTCCAGCTGATGGTTGCCATGTGGACCTGCAGGCCCAGCATTGCTAGAAATCCAGGCTATAATGGGAAATCCTCTCTAAATGTTAGGAACTAATTCAAAACTAAAAACATTGCATAGTGCCCACCATATCTGCTGACCAGGTCAGGCCCATGAGCAGCCCACTTGGCATAGTATATGGGCATCAACCCCATGAACAGTGGGGGGAGGAAGAATCCATTAATGGGCTAGGACCCTAAGGATGGAAAAATGGGTGAGGGAGCAAAGAACAGGCTTCTTCCCAGATTTGAGAAGGGCCTGAAAGGGCCAGAGCCCTCAGATAACACATCAGAGCACACATTAACACACATTGTTTACTTCGTGCCCAGCTCTCAACCACAGTATCTCAATCTCACAACCTCAGGAGGCAGATATTACTTTCATTATCCTCATTTTATAGGTGAAACAAGAGCTCTCAAAGGCTGCAGCTGAGCTGGGACTCAAAATGAGGTCTCTTCACTATTTACACATTTAGTCTCTCTGGGTTGCAATCCTTGATTCCTACAAAAGGAGCCAGGCATCGGAGATTCTAATTTTGGGTTCACTTAGGAAAATCTCCTTGCCTCATTTTACAGATAAGTCTCAAAGAGGGAAAGTTCTTTATTGAACAAAGCTAATGAAGGCAGAAGGGATGATAAAATAGGAAATCACCAGTATGCAATCCCTAATGAAGTAATAGATCAAAACTAGGCAGATCATAATTTAAGCAAAAGGCTATCAGGCACCTGATTAATAAATTAAATCAGGTCATTCCTGATGTGATGCAAAAGCAAGTACCTCTTACCTGCTATGATGTATACTTGCCAAAAATATTAGAATCGGAGTCTGAATGAGCCTCTAGATCTACCAGTTTATAGGAAAAGTGGGCAATAGTGGGACATATTTAATGACACCATAGGGATATAACTAGGTGAATGCAGAATATGAGAAATTTTGGGGCAAATGACCTAGTTTTTCCAACAAATGGCAAAGAAGAAGGGGAACTGCTAAGTATTTTCACAGAGACTTAAGGGACATAAACACAACGCAGTGTATGAATCTTGTTTGGATCCTGAGTTAGAGAAATCAACAAAAAGACATTCTATGATAATTGACGGGGCTCAGGACATGCTACTCCAAACTATGGCACATTGGCTTATTGAATATTTCAAGCTGAAGAATCTGAGAAATGGCACATGCTGAAGGACTTTCTGACCTCCCATGAAGCAGGTCATAAGACCCTCATGTGAGGGGTGCCCCCCCTATACTCAGAAGAAAGGAGCACCCTTATCTCTTAAAATGGAGCAACACTGAGAATTTGAATGAAAAGACCATGTTAAGTTTCCCCAATTTACTACACCTCGCTCATATCCTTCTGTCTGTTTTCCACTTTTCATCTAATCTCATATAAAAATACTCAGGTTTAACTGTTTCTTTGGGTCTTCATTTCTTTATGAAGGCCTCCCATGTCACATAAAACTTTCTTTTGTTAATTTGTCTTTTGGTATAGAGCCCCAGCCAAGAACCTTAAAAAGACAGGAGGAAGAAGGTATTTTACAAAAGTATTTGAAAAGATATTAGTAGATGACATTAAGTAATAATTAAGAATTACTACTGATTTTGTTAGCAATGATAATGATGTTGTTACATATATTTTTAAGTCCTTACAGTTTTTCCGGAAGACCAAATGGAACACTTATCTTATGAAAATCTCTATACCTCAATATGAGTGTTCTGTGGAAAGGCAAGCTTTATTTCAAAGCAACCTGAAAACAATGGTTAGGTCCACGACTACAACTGGTAGGGGGGAGCACACAGTTACACGTCCATTTGGCAGCGCCTCAGTTAGGAGGCTCGCCAGTTGCTGTTGATTGCCCACCACCTAATCAGTTTCATCTTCATGTTGAAACTGAAAAGGCAGAATTGAAGATGCCCATGATATCTCTGTAATCCAAACATGCCCATTTCAGAAAAGAGAACATCTGGAGTCAACTTAATCTGCTTAATTATTAAAATAAATATTTACACTGAGAATATAGTTCATTTAGTAGCTTTCTTCACATTTTCACATTTTTAAAAGAGCCACAAGGGTTCATCCATGTTTTAAGCAGTTGAGTTGGTAAAGATCCTGTCTTTACTTCATAGGACATGGATTACACTCAATTACTCCTCATGACAAACTGAAAGATTATTCCATTGCTTTTGAAGCACTGGTTGGGTTGGCATCTGCGATGGTAGCCAAATAAATGAGATTTCTGTGTAACACATGCTGGTACCTATGGGTGAAAGAGGCAAAAATTAGAGGCTTTGTTTTGCTGAACATGAACAGAAGACTGGGAAGGAATTTACCCACTCTACTGGAATGGCTCACCTATTGATTGGATGATTCAACATCATCAACCTCCTTGATTAACACCAATGAAAATATATCTAGCATCTATCTGTTCTCACTTATCACTTTCATAGCTACCTCTCTGGTCAAGCCACTATCCTTGCATACACTGTTGTATTGCGCCAGTCTCCTAACTGGTCTCCCTGCTTTACCTTTGCACTCCTACTCTATTCCCCACATAGCAACCCAAGTGATTACTGTACAGTTTAAGTCAAGACTTGCCATACCTCTGATTAAAACCCTCCAAGGGCTCCCCTCTCATTCTGAGTAAAGCTGAACCCTTCTAGCCCTTCTGGTGGCCTACAAAGCTCTACATGATTGGGGCCTCTAGTTATCTCTCTGACCTCAGCTCCTACCACTTTCCCTTCACTCTCTGAGTTCTGGCTGCAGTGTCCCCTTTGCTGTGACTTGAAGATAACCAGTGTGCTCTAGCCTAGGGGGTTCTTCCACCTGATGCTGTCTCTGCCTTATATATTTATGTAGCTGGCTCCCTCACCTCTGGTGAGGACATCTGAGTAGATGTCCCACCAGAGATACCCTGTGTAAAACAGCACCCCTTCCTGCCAATTAGCCTGCTTTATTCTTACTCAAAGCATTTATTAGTATGTGCCTAATTGTATGATTTCCTCCCTCTAGATTCTAGACTCTAGGATGTAAAGTCCATAAAAGCAGAGCTGGTACCTGATTTGATAAAAAGCAGAGCTGGTTTTGGTACTGATTCCCCAATAGCTGAAACAGTGTCTGGTACTCAGTAGTAGTTATAAAATATTTGTGGAACAAAGTTAAAGAAGGAACAAGGCACTTCTATGGTATCAATATGAGCTTACGAGAGTAGTGATTCTCAATCAGGGGGTAAAATTCTCTACCGAGGAAGACAAATCAGACTGGGGGGGTGGGCAGGAAGCCCACCGGAAATTTTGGTAACTTTCTTACCCATAGGTTGAGAATCACTACACCAAAAGGAATGTTTTGCAACTGTTTTCCATATAGAAAAATGAGAGTTTACTATGAACTGCAAAAAAGCAAATTACCAGATGCCAGAACCAAATGTAAAGACTTACCCAAAGATGGATATCTCTACTATTTCATTGACCTGTTCAGTGAGGAACTATAGGTGATTTTTTTGGGGAGATGGGAAAAGGATGGTTTTCTTAAAGATGTCTTCAGTAAGAATGAAATAATGTATTTTTCTATAATAAATGGAGGATAATTCCTGGACTACATTTAGAAAAGAGACCGTTTTCAAGATACATTCGTTAGATCACTCCTTTCTGCCCGTGGACACCGCCGAGTAAGCATCATTAAAGTCTCCCCTCCCACCGCCGTCATGTCTAAGTCAGAGTCTCCCAAAGAGCCTGAACAGCTGCAGAAGCTCTTCATCAGAGGTTTGAGCTTTGAAACAACCGATGAGAGTCTGAGGAGCCATTATGAGCAATGGGGAACGCTTACGGACTGTGTGGTAATGAGAGATCCAAACACCAAGCGCTCCAGAGGCTTTGGGTTTGTCACATATGCCACTGTGGAGGAGGTGGACGCAGCCATGAATGCAAGGCCACACAAGGTGGATGGAAGAGTTGTGGAACCAAAGAGGGCTGTCTCAAGAGAAGATTCTCAAAAGACCTGGTGCCCACTTAACTGTGAAAAAGATTTTTGTCGGTGGCATTAAAGAAGACACCGAAGAACATCATCTAAGAGATTATTTTGAACAGTATGGGAAAACTGAAGTGATCGAGATGACTGACTGAGACAGTGGCAAAAAGAGGTTTTGCTTTTGTAACATTTGATGACCATGACTCTGTAGACAAGATGGTCATTCAAAAATACCATACTGTGAATGGCCACAACTGTGAAGTAAGGAAAGCCCTATCTAAGCAAGAGATGGCTAGTGCTTCATCCAGCCAAAGAAGTCAAAGTGGTTCTGGAAACTTTGGTGGTGGTCGTGGAGGTGGTTTTGGTGGGAATGACAACTTTGGTCATGAAGGGAACTTAAGTGGTCGAGGTGGCTTTGGTGGCAGTCGAGGTGGTGGTGGATATGGTGGCAGTGGGGATGGCTATAACGGATTTGGTAATGATGGAAGCAACTTTGGAGGTGGCGGAAGCTATAATGATTTTGGCATTTACAACAATCAATCCTCAAATTTTGGACCCATGAAAGGAGGAAATTTTGGAGGCAGAAGCTCTGGCCCCTGTGGTGGTGGAGGCCAATACTTTGCCAAACCACGAAACCAAGGTGGCTATGGTTGTTCCAGCAGCAGCAGTAGCTAGGGCAGTGGCAGAAGGTTTTAATTACTGCCAGGAAACAAAGCTTAGCAGGAGAGGAGAGCCAGAGAAGTGACAGGGAAGCTACAGGTTACAACAGATTTGTGAACTCAGCCAAGCACAGTGGGGGCTGGGCCTAGCTGCTACAAAGAAGACATGTTTTAGACAATACTCATGTGTATGGGCAAAAAACTCGAGAACTGTATTTGTGACTAATTGTATAACAGGTTATTTTAGTTTCTGTTCTATGGAAAGTGTAAAGCATTCCAACAAAGGGTTTTAATGTAGATTTTTTTTTTTTTTTGCACCCATGCTGTTGATTGCTAAATGTAATAGTCTGATTGTGACACCAAATAAATGTGTCTTTTTTTAAATGTGCTGTGTAAAGTTAGTCTACTCTGAAGCCATCTTGGTATACTACCCCAACAGTGTGAAGTTAGAATTCCTTCAGGGTGATGCCAGGTTCCATTTGAAATTGATTTGCAACCTGCTTGGGCACAGAAGCCATTGTCTCCACAAACCTTGGTGTAGTTGAACTGACAGTTCATGTGTTGTGACCTGGAGTTCACCATTAAAAGGGTCACCCAAGCAAAGTCCTGGAGTTTATTTGGTTATTAATATGATTGTTGGCACATCCTATGCAATATATCTAAATTGAATTATGGTATCATATAAAATTATAGATGGGATTAAAGCTTGTGTATCATCCATTATCATGTGTAATCAATAAACAATTTAATATTCTCTTGAAAAAAAAAGAGACTATTTTCTTTAATTTTGGTATATAGCTAGAGAGCACATTCAATTACTGTGCAGAAGTTGCCTTTGGCCTAACTTGTAAGTCTTATTGGTCCCTCCCTGCGTGCATTACAGAATGACTGCAAGTTAGAAAATGAAGGGGGCGGAGCGCTCAGCTCAGGTCTTGATCTTAGGGTGGTGAATTCAAGACCCGCGTTGGGCTCCATGCTGGGCGTGGAGCCTACGTAAAAAAAAAAAAAAAGGAACTTAGCAGTCAAATGGTCTAACGCCCCTCAGAAAAAGGATAAGCTGGGGATCCATGAGGAGAAAGGGGCCAGAGCTCACATCTCCTGAGACTAGTTTTTCATCTGCTCCCTTCCTCATCCCTGTTGTCATCAGCTGACCTGTCTACGTGAAGGAGGTCTGCAATGAGCATTATTCAGATTTTGAAGAGGGTGCCACGTCTGAGTCCAGGCTTCACAATGTGCTGTCTGTGTAGTCCTGGGCAGGTAAGCAACCTCTGAGAATCATCGGCGATCAATTATCCAAGACTCCTAGTTCAGGACAGCTGCTGTATCACCACACTGGTTTCACCCTACACTCAGAAGTCGGGGGGTGGAGCGGGTACTTACTGGACGCACTCATTCGCCCGGCCTTTGTTCTGATACTCCACGATACAGCGGATGAGCTGGTCATTCTCCTCCAAGAGCTGAAAGACCAGAGAAAGGGTCAGTGCAGCGCGTTATCCGGACGGCCGGGAACACTGACCACCAACTCTCTCCAATGCCGGGCTGTCCTGCCCCGGTGCCTTTGACAACTTTGTTCCCATCTCACTCCATACCCTTGCAAGTCATGCCCCCACGCACACCACAAGCCTCAGCTGGGATGCCGCTCTTTCCAGGAAGCTTCCCGCACCCGCAGCCCTTGGGATCTCAACTAAGGAACGCCTCTCGGCCCGAGTTAGCGCTCACCCGCTGGATCGTCTCCTGATTGACTTCCGCCTTGCCTTTCAGCCAGTCCGGTACGAAGGCCACCGACATCCCGGAAAGCCAGGTTGGACCCTGGCCTCAGGGCCTACGGACCCCCGCGCCTCTAGACCGGAGCCAACCAGCAGGTCCGGACGCACTACGGCCGCAGCAGGGACCTCGATAGGTGGGGCCTACGCTCTCGACGTTGATTGGGTCCTCCCGTTGACTGGGAACAGGCGGAACGTCATTTGTGATTGGGCGCGCAAGAGCGAAGCTCAGCGCGCCGGCCTCGGGCCCGCCCCTCGGCTGTTTGCCCCTCCTTTGCATTTGCGCAGTCTGGAGGCTAGCCTCGGGGGGGGGGGGGGGGGCGGGGGCGGGGGCCGGCTCCCCGCTTCTTAGGCACCGTGTCCTGTCTGTCTGTGGGACTACCTTGCCCAGGGTCACGCGGAAATCGTGGCCGGAACCCAGATTTCTGGCTCCAAGTCCACTCCTCCCTCTTTCGACATCACTCTGGTGCATCCAGATCTGCGTCTGGAGCGTGAACCCTAGCCTTTGCCTTCAGCCAAGCCAAACCCTGCAGGGCCTAGGAAAACACTGGTGTTTGCTTCACTCTTGGCTGAGGGAGAAATTCGCACATATGCCTATTTTTCCTTTGGGTGGTAATAATGCTTATTAGGCTTACAACCCTAAAAAACACTATTATTTTCTCCATTTTACAGGTGAGAAAACAGGTGAAGTCACCTGCCTAAGATCTCACAGCTACCAAGGGCAAAGTGGGTATCTGTCCACAGGCAGTATGACTTTATTTTTTTATTTTAGATTTTATTTATTTATTTGACAGACAGAGAGATAGCAAGAACAGGAACACAAGCAGGGGGAGTGGGAGAGGGAGAAACAGGCTTCCCGCGGAGCAGGGAGTCCGATGTGGGGCTCGATCCCAGGACCCTGGGATCATGACCTGAGCCGAAGGCAGACGCTCAACGACTGAGCCACCCAGGCGCCCTGGCAGTATGGCTTTAGAACCCTTGTTCTTAACTACTACCCCATACTGCCTATGCACCATACTGCAGAGGTGGTTTGGTGCACGATAAAAGAAAGAAGCTGGGCCCACCCACCTGGACCACATATGCTGCTGGCAACCCTGAAACTCAGAAGTGGTTGTCTTCTCTCTTGTTCAGCCCATCCACTGTGGACATGGGGACAAGACTGGTTTTCCCTGCAACACAGAGTGAGCACTAGCCGCATCATTTAGGAGGAAGATCTTGGAAGCCTTTACTCAAAAGGGGTCTGGGTCAATTCTGCCTCCTAGAGCTTCATTTCCCTAAGCAGGCTCATCTGCTTTTGCTGGGCTCTCCCTCCACAGTCCCCTTATTCAACCCTGAGAGGAGGCAGCTTTCATCCCATTTCACAGAGGGATAAACCCAGTGAGGAAAGTGGGGCAACATACCTTCAGGGCTTCCTGGTTCCCAGCCTGTACTATTAACCACACACCGGGATCCTTCCCCAGTCAAAGTCCCCAGAGGTTCTGCAGAAAACAGAGTGGGCAGAGAAGGAACCATCAGGAGCAGAGTGCAGGCCTTGCTTTGTCCTATGCAGCTCTATTGTTGTTTAGACAAATGGTAACGACAGTAACAGAGATGGTGTTAAGCTGAGGCAGGTGCAGTGGACCAACCTGGTCCAGCATACAGAGAAAACCCTCCAGGAGAGTAGATGTTTCAGTATGAAGAGGAAGTTACCCAGGTGACAGGTATCCAGAGCCTGGACTCTCCCCTAGGAAAAATCAGAGCCATAGATGGTTTTAGGCAAAAGAGAAATGAAGTCAGAGATGCATTTTAGAGTTTTCCTGGCTATAATATAGTGAAAGGTAGGGCAGCCAGACAAGAAGAAGAAGAAGAAAAAAAAACATGAAGAGGGCTACTTGCTGCAGGTATGCTGGCCAGAAATGGTGAGAGCAGTGAAAAAAGAAATCTGTGCATTTGAAAGACATTAGGAATAGACTTGGCGGGCCTTAGTGAATTAAGGGGCGGCAGCGGGGGGAGAGGAGTAATTAGGGATGACTTCTGGTGTCCTGGCTTAGGCAGCTGAGAGACTGGTGATGCCAACTGGTGATGCCATTTATGGAGACAGGGAATAGTGAAGGAGAAACTGACTGGAAGTGAGAATGATAAAGTCAGCCATGGACATGTGCATGCAAGGTGATGTCAAACGGACATGTTGAAGTTTGTGGCTACTTGGGTCTGGAACTCAGGGTCAAGGGCTGGGTTGGTAATCTAAGCTTTGAGAAGCACCTCTTGTGGAAACTGACTGGAACCTCGCAGTGGATAAGGCTGCCCAAGGAGAGTGAGTTGGTTTCTCTCATGGCCAAGGAAAAGAAAGTACAAAGGAGAATGGGGGGTGGGGAGACTAGAGATATAAGAGGAAATCCAGGAGAGGGGGGCAGTCATATAAGAAATAAGAGAAAGCAAGATAGTACAGCGGATACAAAGGCTGTTGAAAGGTCAATCTAGGTAGAGAATAGATCTTTGATGTCCTTAATGAAGGAAATTTCAGTGATGTGTCGAGGCAGCAGTGAGAATTGCCAGGGACAATGAAATACAGGAAAGGTGAAGCAAACGGAACCTTTAGAGCAGGCCACTTTCCCCAAGAAGTTTGGTTGTAAACGGGGAAAGGGAACGAAGGTGGTAGTTGGAGGGACAGAAGTTGGTGGGAGCTGAAGGCTATCACTTTAATGGCTGCTCTTTCCTCAGTGAAGGAGGCACATGGGAGAGTGAGGGGGATGTTGAAGAGTGGAAGATCTGGGGAGCATGAGGGAGATTTTTAGGTTGGTGTTAGGGGGAATTGGAGAGAGGCAAACATAGGACTGCTGGACAGTGTTGAGGACCTGGTGGAGGCGGGCAATGTACATACATAGCACTGACCTGTGTCGTTTTGAGATTTTTTTCCAGCAAGACTTATAGCTCAGGAACAGATTTAGAGAAGCCAGAAGATTGGATTTTTTTTTTTCCCCAGAGTTGGAGCACTGCCAGGCAGGTGTGACAGAAGAATAACCACACAATGGAGGTAAGCATATTGGGAAGAAGGTGATGGAAGTGATAGACCTTGGACTTCCAGCTGATGGGGAAGGAAATAAAGATTGGAGAGAGGTGATACATAGAACAAAGTAAAAGGCCAAGTGGACTGGAGGTTTCTGCAGGCCAGAGAACAATGGGCAGACTTCTGAGAACAGCCCAGGAGCAGTCAGAAATCAGGTGTCTGCATTTACAACTTCGGACTTGGAGCTCTTCTGCGGTGATACAGTAGTCCAGGGTGTGACCTTGGAAGTAGAGGGATGAAGAAGCCTGGAAGAGAAACCCTCTGGAGTCAGAATGGCCAGTGATTAGAGAGGAGGGCTAGTACTTCAGACATCACATCTCACCATCTCTAGCCCAATCCACTGTGGTGCCTGAGCCACTCTAGCTGCACCAGTCAGAAGGCACCAAGCCCTATTATAAAGCACTCACATTGCAGGTTCTGAGATCCTGAGGGTCCACATTCAAAAGTTCTGGGGTTTTGTGGGTCTGGCGCCAATTTTTCCTTCCCCATCCAAGCCAGAGCCTTGCTTTCATGACTTGTGAGAAGAACCTGTCTTCATTCACTTGTGAATGCACTTTGAGAAGGGAATCCTAGCCTCTTTCCTGGCCCATACAGTGAAGGGGTTTCAATCTCTTTTATCAATCAAATCCCATTGATTTTATCCTTTGTGCCTTTTATGACCTAGCTTCATGATCATTCACACAGGCCAACCCTGACTTAGTGTGAGAGGGGACTACACAAGGGTGTGAATACCAGGAGGCGGGGATCCCTGGAGGTCGTCTTGGACTCTGTCATAAGTCTCTTCTGTTTTCATTTTGCAATTTTTCTCTGGCTATGTAAAGCTTGCTTCAATTTCCACCCATGTGGTAATGACTTTCAAAAGTCTATGTCCAGCCCAGACCGGTACATGCAATGTATATTCATGTATACATTATATATTCAACTGCCTACATTGACATCCCAACCAGAAATCTCAAAGGTGCCTCTAATTCAGTTTGTCTAAGATGGAACTAGTGATCATTCTTCTTTCCAAAATCAGATCCTCTTCCAGTGTTCTTTATATCTATGAATCCCTCCACTAGCTACCCATTCACTCAAAGCTGAAGAGTGGCATTACACTTGAAGCTCCTTTGTCGCCCCTTCACATCCAAATCATCACCAAGTCTTGTTGATTTTGCTCCTGTGAGTCTCTGAAGACTGCCCAGTTCTCTTCCTCCTCACCATGGCTCCAGTCCAAGCCCAAGCTCTAGCATTATCCTCTTATGCCCAGATGGCCTCATTGGCTTCCCAGCTGGTCCTGTCAGAACTTCCATGAGCCTTCTTCATTTTGATCTTAACTACAGCAGCCAAAGTGATTTTACAAAATGCAAGTTTGATCAGTTTGCCATTGTCCTAAACTTTCTACTGTGGCCTACAGGATCCTACATGTCTTAGCTACAGGTCTTAGCTCTTCTCTCCAGTGGCTCTCACCCTATTCCTTACTCTCTAAACTCTTGAGTTTTTTCTTTCATGCCTTTTTTTTTTTTTTTGGTGGTAACATATATATAACATAACATTTACCATTTTAACCATTTTAATTTTATTTATTTATTAAAGATTTTATTTTTATTTTTTTAAAGATTTTATTTATTTGAGAGAGAGTGAGGGAGGGAGAGCACGAATGGGAGGGAGGGGAAGAGGGAGAAGCAGACTCCCTGCTGGGCAGGGAGTCCGACCCTGGTATCCTTTCCAGGACCCTGGGATCATGACCTGAGCTGAAAGCAGATGCTTAACTGACTGAGCCACCCAGGCGCTCCCATTTTAACCATTTTTAAATGTAGACTTCTGCGACATTTAAAATTTTACATTGTTGTGCTGCCATCCCTACCATTCATTTTTCAGAACTTTCTCATCTTCCCCAACTGAAATTCTGTGCCTGTTAAACACTAGCTTCTCATGTACTACCCTGTTTCTTTTCATCCCTCCAAGGAGACCTACTGCCTTCCTGTTCTTTATACATACTCTACCCTCTGTTTGAAACACTCTTCTTTACCCCTTTGCCTAGTTAGTTACTAGTCAGCTGGTGTCACATTCTCAAGAAAGCCTCCTCGGACTCCCAAGTTCAGACCATAAGCTCCTGTAACTTTTCTGAAAAACCTTGTTCCTCTCGGAAGAGCACATATCTCAGTTTGTATTTGAACACGTGTAACTGTTTAATTGTTTGATGATGGGTGCTCTCACTCTGCCCTCTCTTAACATAGTTTTTAGTGTCAGGGGCTCCTCGTTGTGTCCCCAGTGCCTGGCATAGTGTCTGGCACACAGCAGGTGCTCACAATTTGTTGGACGAAAAATAGACGAATTCTGCTTCCCTGCATTGGGCCATCCATCTATGATAACTGTGAGTGCCTCCATCCCCAGACTGGGGTGTGTCCCTCCGGAGTCGGACTTTAGCACCACATCCAGGGTGGCAGGAGGCTGTGCTCTTTGGTTTGCCTATCTCGAGCTTCCCGCCCAGCGGCGCAGACAGCAGAACCCACAGCTGGGGCGTGTCGTGCAGTTACGCGGAACCTCCCTGCCTCCGCAGGTCAGTTGTGTACTCTACCCCGGCAGCAATCGAGCTAAGACCGAGAAGTCTCCTGGCACTTCCGGACGTGGGAATTAAAGGCTTGGACATCAAACCCACGCGGGTGAGAGCCAGGAGATGGGAAGAAAGTTGGGGGGCGCGCGCGCCCCTGCCACACCCCCTTTGCATTTGGGTCGCAGCGCTTTAAGAACCCGCTCATTCAGGACTCCTCCGGGACCGGGTGGGGAAAGCGCTCCAGGATTGGTCGGTTCGGGTGCGGGTGTTGCTTAGCAGCAGCGAATGGGGAATTCAACGCTTGCGCATGCGTATCATCGCCTACCTGCGCCTGGGCCGCCAGTGACCTGGGCCGGGTCCGCCCGGTGGGCCGAGGTTGCAGAGGAGGCGGCGGGTGGTACGGTGGCGAGGCGGCGCGACGGGCGGGTGCCGACTCCCGGAGGCCGCCGTCGGGGCGAGGTGAGGGCTCGCGGGCGGAGGCGGGCGCCGCGGCCCGTTAGCCGAAAGCAGGCGGGGTCGGGTGTGGCGCAGGGCGGGCCAGGAGATGGAGGCGGCCCCGGGCCCGCCCCGCCCTCAGGCCGGGCTTAGCCCCACCCGGTTTCGTGGGGCTTCCTGGAGTCATCTGTCCCCCTTTCTTCCCCCGGCTGCTCTCCAGGCTCGAGGATAACCGAGGCGCGCGCCTGCAGGAACCCTAAGCTGACAGATGCGCGTCGAGCGCTGTTCCCAGTGGGAGGAGAAGGGGTGTGTCCAAATGAGAGCGGGGGCGATCGTTTCCTTGATTATCCACGAAGCCCCTGTCGGAGTACTGTTTAATTTTAGTAGCAAACTTTCCTTAGCATGCCGAAATTATACGACTTGGTTTACCCAATACTGGGTGCATTGGACCAGCTTTTCCGAACATCTGGTGTAGGAGGTGGTGGACATTTGTGTCCATGATAGGCTTACATCTAGACCTCCAGAGCCAGAAGGATAAAAGCACTCCGGGGAAAATCAGGTTTTTAGAAATCAGAGCCACAAAAGAATATTCTCAGTGGCGAAAAGTAATCGGTAAAATTTGTTACATGGTCAGAACAACAACAACAACAAAAAGCTCAGACTGATGGGTAAGATCATCTTAATTAAATTTTACAAAGGAGTTCATCCTGATAAGGGTAATTTTAGTAAAATTAAAATGTAAATAATTGGAAATGTATTAATATTGGTAAATATAATTAAATTGATATCATAGCGTTTGCTCTTGAAAATACATTTTAGACAATACATTTTAGACAATGATTGTTATAGCTCTAAGCGTTAATGTTTACAACACAGAAGACATCTTGGAGTCAGAAAGTTTTATTCTTAGAAGGAGCCTCAGAAACCAGCTGCATCCAAAAGGTGATTGATGGTCCCAGAGGAAAACTGACTTAATCCAAGTAACACAATGAGTAAGGAGCAATTGTAACAAGTGTAACCCTAGGCCTCTGTTCCTTCTATTAACAGGTCTCTGACTAGTTGAGTAGTAATGCTCTAGGAGAAAGAGAATAGCTGTAATCCCAAAGATTGGATTTAGAGAGGCAGAATAAAGTGAAAAGGTTACATAGGCTTTTGAATATTTTGAGTAAGGGAAGTTTGGGTTTGAATCCTGATCTATCACTTATGTCTTTGGAGCTACAGTTTTCCCACCTGTCTGGTGTAGATTATGTCTACCTTGTAGATAGTTATGAGCATTAAATAACTATCAGCTTAAAAGTTCCTATCACAGTGCCTCGCATGTAATATTAGCTGCTATCAAGTTCAGTCCCGTACTCCTCTTAACTCCTATCAAAGAGTTGACCTCTTACCCCCCCCCCCCCCCCCCCCCGCAAACACTATCCCCAATCAACATGGAACAAAGGAGCCTGAGTGATCTACAAATTGGGTAACCAGTTCTCAAGTCTTGTGGCTGAAGATTAATTCAGTAAGGGTGACATAACTCAATATTGTTTTCTGTATTGTATATTCAAGGAGTGGATAATATGCCTTATGGTGAAGACTTTCTTGAATATTTGAGTGCCAAATGAAACTTGTTTTGCTTGTTTATGTTACTCTTTTGCAAGGCCTGGTCATGGCCTGGTCATTTAATGCTGTTTTTCTCTCATGTTTTCTTTCTCTCTCTCTCTTTTGGAGGGAGGAGGGGAGGAGTATATGTGGTAGGGATTTGGGAGAGGGCTAAGTGTAAGGGGGGAGGAAAAAAACCAGTGGGAACAAGGGTGGCCTCCAGGTAGGCACAAAGTCTTTGCTGGTAGAATAGGGATAATCTATGACATGAGCAGTTTATAAATAGATGCTGAGAAGAGGATTTAGGAAATGGGGGAGGTAGATTAAGATATAATTTTTATAAAGCCTAATAGTAACTTGGGTGCTATATATTTGATTACTAATTCAGTTTCTACTTTAAAAAAATTCTATTTATATAAATATTTATATAAAAATTTATATATTACCTATATATATATTATATGTACCTAGATATGTATTGTGGAACGGTGCTCAAAATATAGATCAGAATATGGCAAGATCTGCAAAACCGCATTTCTTGTCTCTGGGCAAAAATAAGGCAGCTCTTAGGTCATTCATTCATTTGCTTAAGAGTTTTTACTGAGGCCTTCTTCATGTGTGCCAGGCATGGTGTCAGGTTATGAGGCCTACTGGCCTGTAGAAGGAGCTGGGGAGACCTGGAAGACAGACTAGGGTCTCTGTGTGGGTACTCTGAGGGTGCTTTTGTCCTTGTATAATTGATAATATTTTTTTCTCTAATTGTGGCATGATTTTCCAGATTTATACCACTACTTCTTGTTTTTTAAACTGAATACTAGTTATCTGCAAACAGCTTTTATTTTAATTAGTTCTGAGATTAGAGCACCTTCCAGTTTGGAAATGTCATGTAGTTATGGAGCTGCTCACTATAAAATAGGTTTTTCAACATTCAAGCACAAATCATTGAAACTACAGTTAATTAGGGGCGCCTGGGTGGCTCAGTCGTTGGGTGTCTGCCTTCGGCTCAGGTCATGATCCCAGGGTCCTGGGATCAAGCCCCGCATCGGGCTCCCTGCTCGACGGGAAGCCTGCTTCTCCCTCTCCCGCTCCCCCTGCTTGTGTTCCCTCTCTCACTATGTCTCTCTGTGTCAAATAAATGAATAAAATCTTAAAAAAAAAAAAAGAAACTACAGTTAATTAGCAGAAGAGATTATTGATCTACTTATAGAGATATTTAAAAGTGACACAAACATAAAAAGCAGGTAGGAGCATCATTTAAGTAAGTGGTATAAACACTTTAAGTTAATCCTTTTTTTTCAAATTTTATTTAAAAGTAATTATAAGAAGTTGCCAAGATAGTATAGAGAGGCCCCATATACCCTTTACCTAGTTTCCCCCATTGGTTACATCTTACATAATAAGTATAGTACAATGTCAAATCTAGGAAATTAACATCGATATAAAGTGTATATAGTTCCATGCCATTTTACTACAGTGTAGGTTCCTATAACCACCATCACAGTCAAGATACAAAATTGTTGCATCACCACAAAGATCTTCCTCTTGTTCTCCTTTCTAGTCACACCCATTCCCCTCCTCCCCACCATCCCTAACTCTTGGCAACCACTAATCATTTCTCCATCTCTAATTTTGTCATTTTGAGAATGTTACATAAAAGGATTCCTATGGTACGTGACCTTTTGAGATTGGGTTTTTTTCCTTCAACACAGTGCTTTTGAGATCCATCCCAGTTGTTTTGAGTTTCAACAGTTCCTTTCTTTTTACTACTGAGTAGTATTCCATGATATGAATGTACTGTTATTTTTTTTTAACCATTCACTATTTGTAGGATATTTGGTTGTTTCCAGTTCTTGGCTGTTATAAATAAAGCTGTTAAGAACAATTGTACACAGTTTTTGTGTGGACATAAATTTTCATTTCTGAGATAAATGCCCAGGAGTGTGATTGATAGATCATACGTTAATTGCATGTTTAGTTTTATAAAGACACTGCCAAACTACTTTCCCGAGTGACTCTACCATTTTATAGTCTTACCAGTAAAGTATGAGAGAGCCGGTTTCTATGCACACCTTTCCAGCATTTGATATTTTCACTTTAAAAACTTTTAGCTGTTCTCATAGGTATGTAATATTGTCTCATTGTGATCTTAAGTTACTTTTCCCTTAATTGCTAGTGATGCTGCACATCTTTTCATGTGCTTATTTGCCATCCATGTATTCTTTTTGGTGAAATGTCTGTTCATGTACTTTGCCCATTTATAAACCAATGATATGTCATTTATAAAATATTTTCTCCCAGTCTCTGAATTGTCCTTTCATCCTTTTCACATGAGGTTTTGCAGATTGAATATTTTTAATTTTGACGAACTCCAATTTACTGATTTTTCTTTTGTGGATTATGCTTTTGGTATCATGTCTAAGAACTCTTCGTCAAGTCCTGAAGATTTCCTCGTATATTTTCTTCCATTTTTATAGTCTTACTTTTTAGATTTACATTTATGACACATTTTGAGTTGATTTTTATGTAAGGTGTGAGGTTTAGGTCAGGAATTTTTTTTTCCCCTGTAGATATCCATTGCTTCAGCACCAACTATTGAAAAAACTATCCTCCCTCCATTGAATTGCTTTTGCACCATTGTCAAAAACCATTTGGCTGTACTTCTGTAGGTCTATTTCTATGTTCCCTATTCTGTTCTCTTGATCTTTGTGTCTGTTCCTCTGCCAATAGCACACAATCTTGACTAGTGTAGCTATAGAATAAGTCTTGAAATAGGATAGCATGGTTCTACTTTATTCTTTTTCAAAGTTGTTTTAGCTATTTAAGTTTCTTTGCCTTCCCACACAAATTTTTTTTTTTTTTTAAAGATTTTATTCATTTGAGACACAGATACAGAAAGGGAGAGAGAGAGAGAGCATGAGCAGGGGGAGAGGCAGAGGGAGAGGGAGAAGCAGGCTCCCCACTGAGCAGGGAGCCTGATGCGGGGCTCGATCCCAGGACCCTGGGATCATGACCTGAGCCAAAGGCAGACGCTCAACGACTGAGCCACCCAGGCGCCCCTTCCCACATAAATTTTAGAATAGTTTTATCTATCTTTACAAACTGTCATTCTGATATTTTTATAGGAAGTGCATTAAACCTGTGTATCAATTTGGGGCAGAATTAACATCTTTATTATGTTGAGTCATCCATTCCATGATCATGGTATATTTCCTCATTTATTTAAGACTTCTTTGATTTCTTTCAGCAGTGTTTTGTAGTTTTCAGCATAGAAGTCCTGTAGATTTGTACCTAAGTATTTTATTTTAAAAATTATAGCTTCATTGAGATTTTTTTTGGTGTGATTGTAAATCGTATTTTATTTTTAATTTTGGTTTCTATGTGTTCTTGCTAGTTTATAGAAATACAGTTGATTTTTGTATGTTGATTTTATGTCTTGCGACCTTTTTGAACTCATTAGTTCTAGGAGGTGTTTTGGTAGGCTCCTCGGGATTTTTCATGTAGATTGTTATGTCATCTGCAAATAGGAGTAGTTTTGTTTCTTCCTTTTGTATCTGTGTGCCGTTTATTTCTGTTTCTTGCCTTACTGCACTGGGTAAAATTTCCAGTAATGTGTTTAATAGTAGCTGTGAGCATGGACATCATCGTTCCTGATTTTAGAGGGAAAGCATTCAGTCTTTATTAAGTATGATGTTAGCTGTAGGCTTTTTGTAGATGTTCTTCACCTAGTTGAGGAAGTTCACCTCTATTCCTATTTTGCTGAAGGTTTTATCATGAAGGGGTGTTGAATCTTGTCAGATGCTCTTTCTGTATTAATTGACATCATTGTGTGATTTCTTTTTAGCCTGTTAATATAATGGATTATAGTGATTGATTTTACTATATTAAGCCAGCTTTGCGTCCTTGGAATAAATCTCACTTGGTTATGGTGTCTAATTCTCTTTATTATATTGCTGAATTCTGGTTGCTAATATTTTGTTAAGGATTTTCACATACAAGTTCATGAGGATTATTGGTCTATAGTTTTCTGGGTTTAACATCAGGGTAATATTAGCTTCATAAAAAGAATTTGGAATTGCTTCCTCTT